TGGGTGGATGGATGGATAGTAGGATGGATGGTTGCATAGGTGGATAGATGGAAAAATGGGATGGATGAATGAAAGGCTGGATGATTATATCAATCCATCAATCAGTGGATAGGTCAATGGAGAATTCATTTTACTCCTTGAAGGTAAAATTTGCTTTGAGCATATTAAATGTTTAATTACCTGTTGAATGAATAAATAGATCAAATGTTTTCTAGTTTTCTCCAGCATGTCTGATAGCAACAATAACTGAACAAGTGTCTTAAACATGTTGGAGTCCTTTGATCTAATCATTTTTCCTGATCAGATCTAGCTAGAAATATAATCAGAGATACAGAGGTGACTCAGGAAACACGTGTTCATTGTGGTTTTGCTTACAGTGACAAAGGTTGGGGGACGTCCCTCCAAAAGTGACAACAGAGGACTTTAATACAGCCACTTGGGACCATCAAGACTGAATACGACAGGGAAAAGATGCTTTTAATTGTATGAGAAAATACTCAGGGTGGAAAGAAAAGGCAAAATCAAATCATTAGTATATGAAAATCTGGACACAGTCTGAACTTACTGTTTGTTTTGTTTTGAGTGTGTGGAAAATGACTTAGAAAAAATGATGTCTAAGCATTTCTAAGTGGTAAGATACTGTTATTTCCTGCTTTGTTACACAATCTGCGGTAACTAATGATTTCACAGTAATAATATAGTACTTTAATTATCAGGGAAAGAAAAGGCACCCCTGCTTTATCAACATCAAGCAAAGAAGAGGAGGATTCTCTCTAGAAAATGATGGTGATGTTGGTGATGTGACCACAGCAATCAATTCCAAAGTATTCCATCCCAAAGTTGCCCCTTTTCCATCTTTATAAACTCCTGTGTCCCTCAGAGCAGAGTGGTTCTGAGAAGCAGAGAGGGACAGATCTGTTTGTCCTTTTGAACAGTCACATGCTAACTGGGCATTAGCTTGGGCCGTGTGGGAAATGAGAAGCCCTGTCGTGGGAACCTGTTATTGGACTGTCGTCCACCCACCCACAGGAAGGGTAAGGAGTGTCTGAGCCAGGCATGGTGGTGCACACCTGTAATCTCAGCACTCCAGGAGACTGAGGCAGGAGGATGGCAAGTTCCAGCCCAGCCTTGGGAAGTGAGTGACTTAGCAAGACCCTGTTTCAAAAAAAAAATTTAAAAGGTTGAGGATGTAGCTCAGTGAGCAGGCCCTGGACTCCATCTCTGGCACCAAGGAGGCAAAAAAAAAGAATATCTGATGTCTGTGAAGTCCTTACTTCACAGGAGAGTTTGTCATGCACTAAAACTAATCTGAATCTTCTCTGAAAGAGAAGAGCCATCTGTACTTTACAGATGGAGAAAGTGAGGCTCAGAGAGGCCAGGTAACTTGTCCGCAGACAAACAGCGAAAATATGGCAATGCTGCACCAGAGCCGATGGCTCCAATCACAAGGTCACCTTCTCTCTGTGACCTTCTCCAATCCAGGGGTGATGGTGGTGACTGCAGTCACCCAGGGTAAAAAAGCAAACAAGAAACAATAAAAAGATATTATAATTTCAGGTTCTTGGAAATTCTGAGAAGAAAATCAAGCAAGGTGAGACATAAGAGGTGACAGACATAGAAGGAGCAGCTTAGATGGGATGGGGTCAGGGACATGTTCCATGAATTGTGACACTGCAGGAACAAACCACATGAAGAGCCAGGACAGCAGACAAGGAAGCAGGCACCACATGTGCAAAGGCCCTGAGGCAGCATGGAAGGGGAACTTGTTACCAGAGAGGGGCGAGGAGGAGGCTGTAGGTAAAGGAGTGGGTGGGAGGAGGTGGGGGATGCTGGCAGGGAAGGATAAAGAGGTGCGCAGAGCACATGGGGCCCTGAAAGACTGAGAGATGTGACCAGGCCTGGCTGGGTGAGCCCAGGGGGCAGTGGGGCGGGGATGGAAGTGGCCACTGCAACTGTCCAGGCGAGGGCTGAGTGTGGCTCAGACAGGCGTCGAGAAGCAACCCCTTTCCACAAAGGGCACTGCGGCACCATTTCACTGAACAGAGCCTGTTTCCTCTGTGGTGACTCAGACACCGGCTCTGAATGTAGGTAGCTTCCTCCTGGGCCTGGCAGGACTGAGCTGTGAGCACAAGGGCTCTGGAACCCTCCATCCCTCAACTGCTTTAAATGCTGCTTGACAAGGGCACACAGGGACAAGGGGCCCGGCGTTTCTGGTGGCCACCCCAGACCCAGCTGGATTCCCTTGGTTGATGCTCACAGGCTCCCTCTCACAGGCGTTTGTGGGATTTGGTTGTGCTGAGCAGAGAACTCCAGCTGAGTTCTTATTACAGATGAGACCACTGAAGCTCAGAGAGGCCAGGTCACCAACCTAAGGTCACAGAGTAAATTATCCACTATCCTAGAGGGGCTGAGTGACAGGCCCTGGGTATCAACTCTGACAATCATTCCCAGATACACAGCTTAACCACCACGTTGTACCCTGACATCCAAGTGGACAAACCAGGGAATGTCAGTTCATGACAAGTCTACCAGTGTTACCTGGGGCCCTGTTCTCTTCCACGTGGTCCAAAAGGCCAGAGAGATGCCCAACTTAGAAAACTTATGAGGGACCAAGATGAAGGAATTCCTCAACAGTCAGAGTTCTTCATAACCAAAACTGTCTTTGGCGTGGAGTAGTGAGCTCCACATCCCTGGAGGCAATCAAACAAAAACACTAATCAGTCACTGCCCATGTACATGTTCAAGCTTTCAGTGTGACTTAACACAGCTAATCTGCTACTTCTTCCAACCTTAATATGTAAGCAGGAGACATCCACTTATTCCAAAACTGATTTGGTCAGTCTTCGAGCATCTACAATGCACTCAGTTTTGAGTTAAATGCCAAGTCACAAAAGAGAAAATGTCAGTATGGTCCCACGCGTCATAATAGAACTTAACAGTGGAGACGATGCCACATGCAGGTGAGTAGCACTTATGCTTTTTTTTTTTTTTTTTTTTTTTTTTTTTTTTGTCTTTTTGAGACAGGGTCTCACTATGCAGTTCAGGCTGGCCTTGAGCTCACTTTGTAGCCCAGGCTGGTCTCGAACTCACAATGATCCTCCTGCCTCAGCCTCCTGAGTGCTGGGATTACAGGCGTGTGCCAACACGCCCAGCAAGCCACAACCCTTTCACATCAATAAACTGTCCCCAAGGAAGGGATCCGCATTCTCGCTGTCCAGAGGAGGAAACTGAGGCACAGAACAGTGTGAGGACCTGGCCAAATGATATGTTACTAGCAGAGCCAGGACATGACCTTCGTGCCATTAAAATATCCCAAAACATGTGTTTATGATCCCTGGAGAAAATAAGGGTGCTCACCCTCCCGACACCCTCCTGCTGCTTTAACAGGTCCGGGAAACCTGCATCTCCCCTCCCAGTCAGTAGAAACCCTTCATCCAGAGCCGAGCCACTTCTCGCCCGGTTTAAAGCATATTCTCAATTAAATTAAAGTCATTCTTCATTTTAAATTAAGGGGATTTTTAAAAAAATAAAATATCTACAACATTTAAATATCATTAGTAATTACACTTTATTTTATTTTGAGCTGCTTGGGAACATTTTATTTCTAATTAGGTACATTTGTTTGTAATGCTGTTTACTGAACAGAAGGACCTGGATGGAAGGAGTGCAGGGGGCTCTGGGACCTTTGTGTGATCCAGGGAAATGGGTTTCACAGAGATCAGAAAGCCCCGGACTGGCCTGGGACGCTGCACCTTCAGATCTCACAGGTCTGGGGCTGGCATCTCCCTCCTCTCTGTTATCAGCCATCAGAGAAGAGAAGAGAGCTCTGGGCGCTGGAGGAAGCCGCTCATAGTAGTCACAGCAGCCTTTGTAACGTTCAGTTATATCTAAAGCCCTTGTGCTGGGCATTCTATGCCGGAGCTGTCTGCCACAGCTAACGAGACCAACAGTCAGCTCACATCTGTAGAGTGTTGTCACGTGCTGTGTGCTCTATCCACTCAATTTGCCCTAATTCCCAAGAGAAATTGTTTTAGGTACTTTGAATCTCTCTTCAGTTCTATAAACCAAATATCCTGAACATTTTCGGGGTCCTCTTGGCACGTTTGGCAGCAGCTCTTGGGCTTACCTGACGGAAGGTCCTCTGGGGTCTTTATGGGTTCTACAGAACGGGGACTGGAAGGGTTTGCTGGGGCATCAGTGGGTCTCTCTGGGTGCTTTGGTGCGATCTCACTGAAACCTGAGAGGAACTGGCCCCGAGAGCTTGGAGTTGGGATTGGGGACCTCTTGACTGTTTTACCTGGTTCCAGGAGGCCACCCTATGAATACCTCCCCTTCCCCAAATCCAAGGGCAAGGCAAAGTGTCCCAGCTGAGCTCAGGGACCAGCCGTACACTCTCTACCTTAAAGACTGAGCTTGGAATTGACTGAAATGGATCCTAGCTGGAATGGAGAATCTGTATTGCAAGGCATGGGGGTGTTTTCAGATAAAATGTAGGTGTCTGAACTCTACCCCATAGTGGCATGGTCCCTGGTACAAGCAGCCCAACATCCAGGTAAGAGTCGCATGCTCACATACACACTCACAGACACACCCAGGGTCAACCTCTGTATCTGCTAGTTCCACACTTGTACATTCAACCAACTGTGGATCAAAAGTATGCAGGAAGGAAATTGTGTCTGTGTTGAATATGTACAGACTTTTTTCTTGCCATTATTCCCTAAACAATGCAGTGTAACAAGTATTTCCAGAGCATTTGCACTGTATCAGGTGTGACAACTTGTCTAGAGATGACGTGGCTGTACAGAAAACTGTGGGATTATACTCAGAAATGAGCCATGTAACAGCTAGGGCATCCATGAGCCTGGAGCTCAGCTGGGGCCCATCCACTGTCCCTGGTGGTGACCGACATCGCAACGTAACACCCAGCTGGAGGGTCCTTCCATCAGACCTCTTGGGGAAAAGGGGACCCGCCAGTGGCCAGCTGGAGCACTGCCGAGACCAGGGCAGAGCTCTGCCGGGGACACTGGATTGTGGGGGTGAAATCCCAGCTGCGCAGAGTGGCGAGCTGTTGGAACAAGGACTGACATTTAACATGCGGCAGTTTCCTGTGACAGATAAATATTAGACACAGCATGAACAACGGGACTAAGTAAATATCTATTAGTCTCCGAGGTGAGGTCTGCAGGCACAGGAGAGGGGGTCCTACTCGTTGCCCCTTCTCATGATAGTAAATATGTATCCTGCTAGACTTGGCCAGAGGACATCCCTGCCTTTCTCTCTCTCTCTCTCTGTCTCTGTCTCTCATTCTCATTCTCAATTTTATTAAGTTGAACAGTCTTTCATTTTTTGAACCCAGGTCAAGAAAATAACATAGTGCATAGAAAGCCAGCCATTCTCCATGCTAGACTTCAAATGCTAGACTAGAACATAAAACTGCCGTAGTCTTTCCTGATGGCCCAATCCAACTTACTGCTTTATAAATGTTAAACATAAAATAAAAGATGATGTCCAAAGAGAAAGATGGTAACAAAACTTCACCTGCCTCCGGCCCCCAGTCTAGCCCTGTCTTTCATTCTAATTCTCTGCTACACGCTATCATCCCTCTATGGCCCATGGGTGGGTTCCAGGGGTCCTCAGAGACCCAATTCCACAGATATTCCAGTCCCTTTTAGAAAATGGCATGCATAGCATTTGCATATGACCTATACATATCCTCCTGTATGCTTTAAATCATCTCTCGATTACTTACAATACTTAATGCAATGTAAATGCTATGCAAATAGTTGTTATACTGTATTGTTTAGGGAATAATGGCAAGGAAAACAGTTTGTACATGTTCAGTACTAATGAAAATTTTTTTCCTGAATATTTTTGAGCTCAGTTGGCTGAGTCTGGATGGGGAACCCCAGGTTACGGCACATAAACAATGTGTCGATGCTGTGATCATTAATCCTGATGCTCAGCCTGACTGTCTTGAGACAAGCCTGGGAGAGTAGTGAAGTGCCCTTCTGAGTGTCTCTGGGTGGGCACCCGGAACGTGGCCTTGGGGGCTGTATCTGGTCCCAGGCCCCTCCCTTGCTGGCGGGCTCTTTCCTTGTCTCTCAGCTTCCTGTCCACCAGGAGGTGAGCAGTTTTCCTCCACCACACCCTTCCAACACGATGTCTCTGCCTGGGAGCCAGCCAGCCACGGACTGCATCCTCTGAGACTATGAGCCAAGTAGATTTCTTTTCCTTGTGTACGTCAGATGTTTTGTCCCAGCAAAGAAAATAAAAGCCTAATATAGAGGGATATGACTGCCTCCATGTCCTGAATGGATTTAAAACATTTACTTTTCATGGTGATTTTGACTTTGGAGAAGTGAGCAGTGACACAGTACCTGATCTGGTGAGTAAGAATGCATGGTCATGTGTTAACGAGCCTGCGTTTCTGTTGGATGGAACTCCGCAGCAGCATTCTCACTCAGCACTTTAATTTTGATCACATTTAACAAAGACACTCACAAAAAAAGGACCTTCAGAACTGCTTTAGAAAGTGGCAAGAAGGACGGAATAAGTATGTTTGGAACGAATGCAGCATCTACCTTGAGAGGGTTTTGTACTTAAATAAATTTTTAAAATTTAACATTCACCATTTTTTTTTTTTTTTTTTTTTGTCACCATGTGTTTTAATCATGCCACGGACATTTCTGAGGTTATTTCCGCATCTGTAGAATTCCCAGGACTATAAGAAAAACCATACTAAGTTCATGTGAGATCCCTGCTGGCAGACAGATGCCAGCAGTGCCGGGTTTCCTCTGCTTGCAGCCGCTTGTCCAGTATCTGCTTCTTCTTTAGAGTCTGTGTGCTGGGACACAGGTCACACTGGGTCAAAGGCCTACCCTTTCCATTGTGACTCACATCTCACTCACATCTGTGCAGACCCAGTTCCCAAACAAGGTCACGTCTCAGGTACCCAAGGTTGTGTCTTTTGCAGTCCACACCAGGCAGTCACTGGAGGGTGTGCAAGGTAGGGAAAGTGGCTTTTAAAAGAGAAAAGGAACTTTGGGAACAGGAGTCTGAGCACAAAAAACTGTCAGGCAGCTATGGCGACCTGCAGGCCTGTGATCAAGACAGCTGGGGACAGCAGCAGGGAAGGGCAGACTGTACAGGGCGGTGAGCAGGATGGAGCCCAGTGTCGCCTGGCCGGGATCTGGCACCTCAAGATGCTGTGGAGGTGGCATCTGGTTGGGGAACAGGAGCAGCCACAGGACAGGGGAGGACATGGCATGGAGGAGGACACAGTGGGCAGGAGGTGGGTGGCTATTAAGGCCGGGTACAGATGTGCCATCTCCACCCCATCCACCGGAGAAAGAAGTGACATGCTGAAGAGAAGGAAGTGGACATGGTGAACGTCATTTTGAGGGGGTGTTCTGGGTCAGGGTAGGATTTACTGGGCTCCCATGTTCTCTGCTAGGGTGACAGCCAAGCCTGTGACCTGGCAGTGGCAATGGCAGCTGCTCCCTTGTAGGGCTGATGTGACAATCCAAGTAAGCACTGCTGTCATTGTTATTGTTACTAACGCAGAGCCTGAGATGTCCCCAAGGCCAACTTCACCATCTGATCCTGAGTTCCACCCACTTGCTTAGAGTACGACATTCTGGGCGACCAAGCTCCGAAGGATCACATAGAAAAGGGAACACCACCGAAGACTTCCGGGGAGACTTAGGGAAGCCGGTAAGTCGAGGAGCAAAGCGGGCACCTAGGTAGGAGTACAGCATGGGGCAGAGCCCGCGAGGCAGGTGCTCTTGGCCCTACTGTGCAGCAAAGGAACGGAGAGGCCAGAGAGCGCAGACACACACTCACACCGCCAGTCAGAAGTGCAGCTGGGATTCACAGAGAGACCTTCCGAAGCAAGAACCTGGCCCCTCGCCAACCCACTGCAGGCTGTTTGCAGCGCTCTGAGGGAGCAGTTTGCCCTCTTGGCACTGCCCACCCTTTGTGCGTCAGCTACCATGAATCATTCCAGGTAGGCATATTTCAAGGTTCACCCTTCTTTGAGGATATCACCCTCACCCTTCTCCCTTGCCTCAGAAATCCTTAACCATGTGGGGTTGGTGGGCACTTAGGACACACAGCTCAGTGGTCACAGCTCAGAAGCCACCTATCACTTTGTATCCCTTCCAGAGCTCTTGTCCACTCCTTCAAACTCTCACTCTGTGCTCTGTCTCTCCCAAGAAGCAGGGGCAAAACCCTAGTGGATGAGCAAGATCAACACTTGCGCAAATGTCCAGTCCAACAGAACATCAAAGAGTATGCCAGTCCTGCACAAAGGACCTGCAAATGTCCCTGCTATTGGTAGAGTCTAAGAACATGAGCCTCATGCTTGTGCCCTGTGTATCAGTCACCTACTGGTTTAATAATGCTGTGTAACAAACACAGTCCTTCAGCATCATATAAACTACAATAAACTTGCATTGCTCCTGTCTCTCAGGTGACCATCCAGGCAGCTCTGCTAGACTTGTCAGGATAATTCACATGGCTAGGGCTCAGCTGGCAGGCTGTGGATCTCACTGACATCCAGCATCTCAGTTCTGCTGCATGTGCTCCCCCAACCCTCTCCATGTGCCTTTCATGGTGATGGCAGAGGGCAGCAGAGAGCAAGAGCAACCACACCGGTGCATGGGGAGCCTCGGAGTGACACACGTGGGCATCTCCTCCATGGCCAAGGCTGCCATGCCTGCTGGGTAGAGGGCACCATGAGGTCACATGGTGACTGGTCTGGCTGCAGGGAGAAGTGAAGATTTGGGCTGTGGCTCCAATCCATCGCCACTCCTTGGGCACAGCCACTGTTATTATATCAAGTGAGTGAGTCAAGGCAGGGGGGGATGTCAAAGTCCACACACCGTACTCACTTGCACAGGCTCCTGGTTTGAATGGCTGCAGTTAACTGACTGGGCACCATGTCAGAAAGTCACCAGGGGTGGATAGGAAGAGAAAGGGGCAAAGGGAGAACGGGTGATCAGGTGAGACCTGGGTGTGACCTGAGGATGAGGGCTGATGGCGAGAGGGTCCAGGTAGAGGGGCAGCAAGCACAAAGCTGGAATACTGGCAGTTAGGGGAGTGCTGCCCCTAACTGCCCCCAGCCCCACACACCAACTTTCCCTGCCCTCTTACCTCATCCTCACCTCCTGCTTCCCAGAAGCCTGTCCCCTGCCATCCCGAGTGCCTCTCCTGCTGTCCCTGTCAACCCTCCCCATGGCCCCAGGCTACACAGTTGCAGTTGAACTGTAGAAAGCCCCCTGATTTTCCAGGCTTGGCTATTCTCAAGGAGCTGCCCTGGCTGCCCAGGAGTCTCTGTTTTCCAGAGAAGAGTACAATGCCAGGGGCTGCAGTGCGCACGCCTGCAGGGATGGCTCTTTCAAACGTCACCTGCCATGCCTCTAATAGACACGTGACCAGAGGGCAGCGAGCAGCTGAGGCAGCCTGGGCTGCAAGAGAAGCAGGAAGCTCTGCAAACCCGTGGAGCTGGCTTCGCTTGGCCACACTATTTACCTGCTCTGTGACGGCAGGTGTGTCTTCTCCGGGCCTCAGTTTCCCTTTGTAAGTGAAAATGGTACCCAGCTGCCAAGGTCATCAGACTCAGCGTGACGCATAGTTTCTGGCACAGGGGACACCATCACCAGCCAGTAGCCAGCTGTCACAGCTGATGTGCCCTCCACCCTGGCCTTTCCCTGACTCTGCAGAACACACCGCCAGTGCATTTCAAACAGGACCAAGCATCTGCTTAGCATGCCACGGCCTTTGTTCCCTCCGACCCTCTTTTGAATTTTAGATTGTAGCTCTGATTAGGGATTCTAGAGTTTAGGATATGAAAATACAAGTAATGCTCTGTTCCCTGGTTGAGGATCCAGGTTTTATTCCTCAGCCCCACCCCATCTCCTTTTACTCCATGGAGTTGGCTGGGCAGTGCCCAAGGGCACATGAGGATGGGCACAGGGCCAGCTCAGGCAGTCAGCATCCAAGGAAAATCAGCTCTGAATTCACCTGTGCTTCACTCAATTCATTCACGCATTCATTCGTTCTTTAACAATTCAGAACTTGCCACATGCAGGCAGTATGCTCAGGACAGAAGAGCTGTAGACAGTGATTAAAGTGCTATGGTTTAGATCTAGAATGTCCCTCCAACTCCTATGGGTTCAGAGGTGGGGTTTTCGGGAGGTGGCTGGGTCATGGTAACACTGTATTCATTGGTGGGTTAATTCGTTGCTGAGTTCTGAGCTGACTTTGCTGTTAGGAAGTGGAGCCTGGCTGGAAGAGGTGGTCACTAAGGAGGGGACTCTGGCTCTCTGGCTCCTCCTTTTTCTCTCTCTGCTTGCTCACTGCCATGAACTGAGTAGCTTTCCTCTGCCATGTTCTCCCACACTGTGCCACTTCTTCCTTGGAGCCAGGCAACACTGGACTGAATCCCCCAAAATCATTAGCCAAATTAAACTTCTCCTCCTTTAAATTGTGGGTGTCAGTGTGCGTCCAGTCATAGAAGCTGACCAATACAGTTAACCACATGCTCCAGCCTCAACACTTCACCATCCCAAACATCACAACCTTAATAATCATCTTTAATAATAAACTCTCTATGAACATTTCCTCCCAGTATGAGCACTCTCAACTTCATTTTTAACTTTATTTTCCTGATGGCCAATGCCCTGCCACCTGGCCACACTTCTTCAGACCCCAGACTTAGATAGATGCAGGGCCTGCTGGAGGCCCAGGGAGGAAGAAGGGATCTCTTCCCAAAAAAAAGAAAAAGCAAGTGACAGCCATGCTGGTCACTTTCCCGTGCCAGGACACCTGCTCAGAGAGGCATGAGGAGGAAGAGAGGCCAAAGATGACCCTGCAGGCACTGTTCACCAGGGAGGGGACATTGCGCAGCTCTCTGGGCTCACTGTGCACCAGAGAGAGCAGGGAAAGCATCTCCAGGATTTGGACAGTGGACTGTGGTCCCTTGGGAGGGATCTCTACAGATGGCCCACAACATCACTTTGGAATTGAAGACAGTGATGCGAATACTGGGAGCTGCTCCTCTCTAATGGGCCTCAGGAAGGAAGCAGACACCTCTGCTCCAGGACCTCAGCATGGCAGGAGGGGCCTGGCAGGTGAACATGTGGTGTGCAAAATGATAACACCGTGCAGGTGACGATCACACCTAGTGTCCACTCACGCACCCACTCTGCAGGATGGGAAACCAACATACTGAGACATTAAGCCCCTGATTCTCATCTCACCACCAGCATGTGGCAGGACATGTACTGCCACAGTACATTCTGAGTACAGGACTTGTACTCAGAACCCTCTCATATGCACAAGCAAGCCCTTACCTGTTGCCTGCCATGGGCCCAGTGGGGTGAACCTTGGAAGAAAAAGAGAAGAGATGCTGTGGTTTGACAGCAGATTCAACAAGACAAAAGCTGGAGTCCATGATTATGTTTATAGTGTTAATTCTTTCTTATTGCATTGCCTTTGCCTTATATATACACTCATAAAATTATCCAGACATCTCCTGTATCCCTTTGTAATCTCTCCCTCCTTCTGTTCCCTACTTCCATACCCCCTAACCAAGGCAACACTGATCTGCTTTCTGTCAAAATACATTTCTTTGCCTCTTCGAAAATTCTATATGAATGGAATCATACAGCATGTAATCTTTCGTGTCTGGCTTCTTTCACTCAGAATAATGCCCCTGAGATTCATCCAAGCTTGTGTATGTACCATAGCTCATTCCTGATTACTGCTAAGTAGTATTCCATTGTGTGAGTGAACTGCAGTCTGTCGAGCCTTGCATGTATTGACAGGCATTAAAATTGCCTCCAGTTTTTGACTGTTAGCAGATAAATCCATTACAAACATATGTGCATGGTCCCTGTGCAGACATAAGCTTTCAGTTGTCTTTAGTAAGTGCCTAGCGGTGGGATAGCTGGATAATAAGGTAATAATATATTTAAAATTTTAAAACTGCAAATGATTTTCCAGAAAGCCTGCACACTTTATGCTCCCCACCAAGCAGATAAGAGTTCCAGTTCCTTGATGTCCTTGTCAACACCTGTTATGAGCACTTCTAAATTTTGGACTTGTAAATAAACGTGCAATAGTGTATCATTGTGATTTTAATTTGCATTTTCTTAGTGACTCATTGAATTTCTTTTCATTGCTTGTTATCTATGTATCTGCTTTGCTCAAGAATGTATTCAACCTTTTTTGTTCTTTTTTAAACTAAGTTTTTAAAATTTTATTTTGTGGCACCCATGTTAAGCATGTGTCCAATTTTTAAATCACATAGCTTATTTTCTTATTAATGAGCTTTAGGAGTTCTTTATATGTTCTAGATAACAGGACTCTATCAGATATGTGATGGGCAAATTGTTTCCCTCAATCTGTGTATCTTTACATTCCCTCAACAGTGTCTTTCACAGAGCAAAATGGTCTTAATTTTCTGAAATTCACATTACCAATATTTTATTTCATTGAGCATCATTTTGGTGTCATAGCAAAAATATTTCTTGCCTAAACCCACCAAGGTTAAAAAGATTTTTCTCTTTCATGCTTTCTTCTAGAAGGTATATAGTTTTAGGTTTATTTTGGTCTTTGATCAATTTTAATTTTTGCTTATGGTGTGAAGTATAGAGCCATGTCATGTTTTTGCACATAAAAATCCCATTTTTCCAGTACCATTGGTGAAAATACTATCTTTTCACCAATGAATTGTGTATGTCCTTTTGTTGAAAATAAAAAATAAACATGTATGAGTATATTTCTGGACTCTTATGCTCCACTGATATCTTTTGCCAATTCAACAGTGCCTTGGCTTTTGAAATCAGATAGTCTAAGTCTGTATGCAATTTTGTTCTTATTTTTCGAAGTTGTTAGTTCTTATAGCTTCCTTACTTTTCCATATGAATTTTAGAATCATTGTCTCAATTTATACCCCAAAAAACCTGCTGGGACTTTGATATGGATTGCATTGAATTTAGAGACTAATTTAGGGAAAATTGGCATCTTTACATTACTGAGTCTCTTAGTCTATGAACATGGTATACTTGTCCATTTATTTTGATGTTTTTAATTTTGCTCAACAATATTGTATGGTTTCAAATATACAAATTTTGCTCATTTTTCTCATATTTATCCTTGTTTCCCATTTTCACATTCTGTTGTAAGGAGTAATGATTTTTATCCCAGTTTCCAATCATTCATTATTCATATATAGAAATGCAATTAATTTTAAGTATTGATCTTGTGTTCTTCAACCTTGCTAAACTACTAGTTAGCTTTAGTAGCTCTGGTGTGAACACCAGGATTTTCTACAAAGATGATCATGTTGATTACCAATAAATCTGTATTTCCTTTTACTTGGTTTATTGCACTGGCTTGAGGCTTCAGAATAATGTTAAATAGGGTCTAGGGATTTAGCTCAGTGGCAC